TGTCTCTAAAGAAGAAAATGGACCAATATTGTACTGGAGTTACATCAGGGGACAAAAAGAAAGAAGCCAGAAGCCAAAGCTAGGGACAAAGCCAACATTTCATAAACACAATTAAGATTGTTAAATTGTTGATGTGAGAAGTTGCTGTACATATTCTGCTTTTACAACAAGGATTTGAGAAATGTTTAGGATCTTTTCGTTCTTGATATTCAACATTCTGCATTACTCAGTTCAAATACGTGCATATTAGTGTTCAAGATAAGCCTTTATACACTCAGTTAATTTTGTGTTACTTTTTTCAGCTTTATGTACAGATTTAATTAATAAAACGCTGCTTTCACGTAAATTGCCTTAAGTCCAAATGTATCCTAAAGATGAGTGGCAAAGCTCATTATATTAATGTGGTTTCAGATCTTTATTCACAGAATGGAGAATTGTGTTGATTGTGTTCATGAGGTTTATTTCTTGAGAGGCTTTAAATAGTACTAGCCAAAGCTGAAAACATAGCAAAGATTTCTTAAACTCCCTGGGATTCTGAAATTTGTTCCTAATGGAATATCTACATGTAATCCATTATATATTGTACTTTTGTTAATAGAACTTTTGAGACAGTTTTACAAGCACTTCATCCTTGAGAAGTATTTTGTGATATACATGTTGTTTAAATTCATTTTAAGCATGTACGTTCAGCACGATAGTTAGTACTCAGATTACTGTTCAATAAGCCTTTATTTACTCAGTTTTACGTTACTTTTTGCAGTTTCTGTTTACGCATTTGAATTTACGATACGTTTACATGTATATTGAAGATAATTTACTCATTGTTAATGTTTGCTAAAGATGAGTGAAAATTAATTTGGTTTCCTGTCTTAATTTACAGAATTAAGACTCATGTTTACAAGAATGTTTTTATCTTGATTTGAAATTTTGTTGACATTTTTTCTCAGACTGTCAAATATCCCTTCAGTTTGAATGATAAGAAATCAATTCGACTGACGCTGAATTTCAGAAAGCTATACAGCCTCAGTTGCCTTGATTTTGGCCTGACTGCCACCTTGAAAAGGTCCCACACGAATAGCACATTTCTAATTCAATTATTTTCCTTACAAAACAAATAGATTTCTTTGTCTTTTCAAGAATTTAATTGCACATCTCTGTTTTCAGTGTTTTGGATTTTTTGGTTGCCATTTCAGAAGACTGGAAAATGAAAAAAAAAATCATCACTTCAGTTTGGGTTTCAGCAAAAATAAAGAATTATGAATTTGTTTGCAAAGTATCAATGTTATTGTAAAAATTAAATGTTCAAGTAGACTTTTTAGTGTTTAACAATTTACCACTGTATGTAGATCTTAGTAGTCACAACAAGACTTTGTAAACTCCCTTTATGTATTTTCTTCAATTTGTTCCTAATAGAACATAAATCTACTCATTGTATTCTGTGCTATTTCTACATTACATTTTCTGATAATGGAAATTACAGCCTGTACAATATCAATTATTCTGTATTTCTGTTAACTTCACTTTTTAAAGCCATGTAAGATCATTTGCAATAACCCAGATAAGCACCTACCGATTTAATGACAGAAACCTCAAAGTGAAGATAGGACTGGTAACAAATACCCTGTGAAATAATTCCACCTGAAATGGTATTGTCAGAATACAACATTGAAGGTGGTTTCAAAATGGGGTGCCTACAGAATCCAGTTACCATATCCAAAGACTTGTGCATTATGTTTTCTCTGTTTTCTCCAAAATGTATAGTAGCCACTCAGCTAAGACTTGAACAGAATGCTTGTTATGCAACCTACTTAAAATATTGAGCACTTTTGTTGCTTCGGAAAAAAACTTGCAAAAAGCAAATGATCCTATGCACAATGTACCTTTAAGCATACACATCACTATGAAAGTTTATTAAGATCACTTAAAAAAATTGTCTTTTATATTCACTCAGTTTCTTTAAAAAAAAGAAAGAATTTTGTAGTTTTTTTCTCCATTTTTGTAGTTTTTCATAGAAATCCTGTTTATTGTTATTATTTATAAGCTTTGTACATTTGCATTTATATCAATGAAACACTAATGTGGATGATCATTTAATCATCAAAATGTCTGTTAAAGATGAGCACAAATACTTATCCTATTAATTCGGTTTCCTGTCTGAATTCACAGAATAAAAGCTTGTGTAAACTTTACTCACAAGGGATTATCTTGATGGACATTTTTCATTATTTCTCTTTGAAGGTTAACAATTCTTCAAGTGTGAAAGGTTGCCAATCATTTTAATAAATGTTCAAATCAATGGTATTGAATTTCAGGAATCTAAGGCCTCCGTTGCCTTGATTTTGGCCTGACTGCCTCCTTGAAATTTCCTTGCCTTTTCAGAGTTAATTTCATACCTTTGTTTTCATTGTTTTACTTATTTGGTTGCAATTTCAGCAAACTTCAAAAGAAAGGAAAGAATTACCCCCTTATACAGTTTGAGTCTCAGCAAAGAATTATTACATTTTGATGACACTTTTCAAACTCTGTTGTAACATTTAAATATTCAAATTGACTTGTAAAATCAGATGGTTAGAAATGAAATGAGCAGAAATAAATTCATTCATTTATTCAGAATAAGAATTCACCCACCACTCTTTGTAGTTCTTTGTAGTCGCTCTTTTCTTCATCTAACAATTAAAAAGAAAAATCATGTCTTAAAATATCTATATTGTTATTGCATTTAAAAACCCCAACCCCAAAGAAACCCACCAAGTGAAGTCTCCTGAATCCAACAGAATCCCACAACTCAGATGAACCATACAACAGAAATGCACCACTGTGGAATTTGCTGTAACTATCACATGTGGTTGAATGTGTGAATAACTTTAATTTTTCCCAAGTTTCGGCAATTACCAAATTTCCACTTCTGGATTACCTTTGTTTGATACATAAATACGCAAACAATTTTATGAGGTCCAGCCGGCCAAATAAATTCCAGATTTCTTGGACCAGTCTGCAAGTGTTCATAGCAAAAAGACAAGGTCAATGGTTTCACCTTTTCATCAGATCCCCAGCAATTAAAAATGTCACAGCGCCCTCTATTGGCGATGAATCTCCCTCCCTTAATTATTGAGTGCCTGTGATTTTTCTGCATTTATATTAAAAACTGATGATATAAAGAAGACAATTATTGCCTCTTTGGCCATTTTTCATAGAAATTCAAACAAATTTATTTCAGAATCTGCTCTGTGAAAAGGATTTTAAAAATCACTTTTTCGTTTCCCTACAAATTAACTTTGGCTGTGCCTTGCAATTTGCCAGCTGGAACCCTGACCATGCAATATGGTCCGTGTTAGTCATCTTCACTTGATGACTAATATGGGTCATTCTAGACATTGAGGGTCCAAAGTGGGACATCATTCCTGTGCCTGTGACCTCTGACCTTTGTAATGTGCCATTCAAGTATCATTACAAATGACGTCCATTGTTTATTTGCTGGGTGGGTAGTTTGCTTACATAATCACTCTTGAAACCTGACTGCATTAAGGAGTGCATGCAGAATAAAAAAATAAAAACAAGTGTGACCGGGGACAACAGGCTCTTCAAGTTTAGATGGAAAATATACTGTTTTTATTCCTCATCAGTGGCCGCATGGCAGCAAAGTGCAGCCAGCGCTGTGAAACTTTCTTTAAATTACAAGACTTTACAATATGTGTGTGCTCTTGTTGGTGGCTAATACAAGACTGAACTGAAGAAAACTAAACCACAGGATGTTGGCCAGTGCCTCACATTCCTGAGCAGACCACATAGAGATTATGAATAAACAGAGAAGGGGGTGATAATGAACAAAGTAACTAGTGTAGAAAAGCTAGAGTCTATCTAATGATTCTACCTCACCATTATGACGTCACTCCAGAGATTACGTGAAATAGCGCTCACCAGCCAGCCTTCATTGTGCGATCTAGCCAGCTGAAGAACGGACGCAAACTCCGTTCTCTCTTCACTTATTATGTGCATAGGCCAATGCTTATGTATCGTATTATAGATTAAGCACATCTATCTGTAGGCCTACTGCTTTAATTGGCAGTGGCATACGAAATTCTTGAAAGTGTTCTGGACTTCGGGGAGTTTTCAGATTTGTCTCCACACCCTACACCGTCAGGACAGGTTTCCGCACCCAAGGACATGCTGGAACATGGCTTAATAGCCAATAATTCCGAACCTTCCGAAACAGAAGTTCAAAAACCATTGAACACTGCGGGGAAAAAGACTTTGAAGGGCAAAGGTAAGACAAAATTGTCTAAACATGCACACTTTTCCCCTAATGCAACCTCAGTCAGTCGGCCATTACAGGGCGTAGCCGAGCAAGCCTCAATGTCTGCATCCACTCAACCGTGGCAGGAGCTAAATAACTCCATAACGCAAGCAATGAAAGCGGGCTTTGAACAATTCACAACTGAATTCCTGGAGGCAGCTCACAAAGGATATGACAAAGAATGCAAGCGGAGCTCCTCGAGCACCAATGTGCCCGAGCCGAAAGCCAAACGACTGAAATCAGTCGTGGTTGTTCCTGACTCCGTCACCAACTCAGAGTCTGATGACACAGAAACTGAACTCAAACGACTTCTTTCGGAAGGTGAACAAAATTGCTCGTCAAATGACGACCTATTGGGTGACATTCAACAGGAGTACGAAGCAGACGATAAGGTTGGGCCCAAAGTCAAAGACAAGCTCGCTACTCTGACTGACAAAATTCTCATGACGAAACTGTCAGATGAGAAATTGACTGAAAAGCAAAAAGCTTATTGCAGGCCTCAGAATTGTACCAAGTTAATGAAAACCAAAGTCAACCCAGAAATATGGGCGTTACTCAAACCTGGCACTCGCTCACGAGACTTAAAATTCTTGAGAGTCCAGAAATTGCTTGTCTCAGCATTTGTTCCTTTACTCCAATTAACGGAGAAATTACTGGCTAAGCAAAGCGTCAAAGACGAGGTGAAATTAGCCACTGATACAATAACACTCATGGCTAATGCCAACATCGAATTGAATCTTAGGCGTAGGGAGCTAATGCGTCCCGATTTAAATACTCAGTATCAACGCCTATGCGCTCCATCTGTCCCAATTACACAACTTCTTTTTGGGGACGATCTGACCAAAGCAGTTCATGACATAAAAACAACCAACAAAGTTGGAAATAAACTTGGTCGTCAAACTGAAGGACGCAGCAGAAGCTTTGGGTACAGACATTATTCAGGTCGAACAATGGCTTCAAAAAAGTACATGCACAACCAGTCGTATCCATACCAAAGGGGTCAACCGGCAAGAAGCAACCAGAGCCGGGGACGAGGATACAGGCGGGGCCAAAGCACAGTGACACGCCCGTAGCTGTCTCAAGTACTACCTCCAGGTTAGCACAGGTTAGCACAAACTTTACTGAAAACAGTGAAGCTAAAGCAAGCTGAAATGTAGCTGGAAGGATAAAAAACTATTTATCAACCTGGAATAGTATTACTTCAGATCCAACAATTTTAAACATTGTAAAGGGACTGCACATTGAATTTGAATCTATCCCGAGGCAAATGTTCATAGCAAAGCAATATTCTTTGAATATTTCTGAGCAAAATATTGTGCAACAAGAAGTTGACAAACTTCTTAAAAAAGGAGTTATCGAAAAAACAAATCACGAACCGGGACAATTCATATCAAATATATTTTTGCGGCCGAAGAAAGACGGTACATACCGAATGATCTTGAATTTAAAGTCGTTAAATCGACATGTGGAATACCACCATTTTAAGATGGAAACATTGCAATCGGCGATAAATTTAATGACAAATGGCTGTTTCATGGCATTGATCGATCTGAGAGACGCCTATTATTCAGTGCCAATTGCAACTGAACATAGGAAATTTCTGAAATTTCAGTGGGGTGATACAATTTATCAGTACAGCTGTCTCCCAAATGGGCTTGCTTCAGCTCCACGTTTATTTACCAAACTAATGAAACCCATCTACTCGGCTTTCAGATGCCAAGGTTTTCAATCAGTTGCGTACATTGATGATTCTTTATTGATTGGGAAAACATACGAAGAATGTTATGAGAATGTGATGGCGACAAAACAACTCATGGCCCAAGCAGGCTTTGTAGTTCACGACAAAAAGTCGGTTTTTATTCCCGAACAGGAAATAACTTTCCTAGGTTTCGTGTTTAACTCGAAAGATATGTCGATTTCCCCAACATCACATAAAGCAGAAAAACTTAAGGGAAAATGTCAACATTTGATTGCAAAAGAGTCACTGCTTATACGAGAAGTGGCTCAGGTTGTTGGCATGATAGTATCCAATTTCCCAGGTGTAATGTTTGGCCAACTGTATTACCGGCATGTCGAAAAAGACAAAATAAGAGCATTACAACAAAGTGACGGAGATTTCGATACTCAAATGAGTTTGTCACAAGAGGCATTAAATGACCTCAACTGGTGGATTGAAAATATTGAATCCACTGAAGCCAGTAGAAGTTTACGTGTAATAAACTCAAAGCCAAATGTTTTCATTACTTCAGATGCATCCCTTTCAGGATGGGGCGCTGTTTGTAATGGTATACGAACAGGGGGCCATTGGACACCTCAAGAAGCTAAGGCTCACATAAACATTCTGGAAATTCTTGCCTCTTTCTTTGCATTGAAGTCTTTTGCAAAGAAATGCAGGAATGTACATGTGCGTTTGTCTATTGATAACACAACAGCTATTGCACATATAAATAATATGGGTGGAATACATTCTACAGATTGTGATGTAATAACATGCCTGATGTGGCAGTGGGCTAAAGCAAAGCATATTTGGCTTAGTGCAGCTCACATTCCAGGAAAACAGAATGTGGTGGCTGATATTGAATCAAGACGAATGAATGTTGATGGGGAATGGATGCTTAAGCCATACATCTTTGAACAAATAAGTGCAAGGCTTATTAATCCAAATATTGATCTATTTGCCTCAAGAATAAACTATCAGATTAAACCTTATGTTTCATGGAAACATGATCCAGAGGCTATTGCAATAGATGCATTCATGCTGTCTTGGGAGACTTACAGCTTTTATGCTTTTCCTCCTTTTAGTCTAATCGGCAGAGTTCTCCAGAAGATTCAAAACGATCAGGCAGAGGGACTTCTGGTTGTTCCCAACTGGCCAACCCAGTTTTGGTTTCCGAAGCTAATACATATGCTGAAAGCAGAACCAATACTCATCCCAGCTTTTCTACAGCCACTCCAGCTACCGCAGAACAAATCAGCGGTGCATCCACTTCAGCCAAAGTTGTCACTACTGGCATGCCACATATCCGGGAACGACTTGCAAGCACAGGTATTTCAAACCGGACAAGTGAGATCATCGTGGCTTCGTGGAGAAGCAAGACACAAAAACAGTATGCTTCATATTTAAGGAGATGGGACTCCTTTTGTAGCCAACATGGAATTAACCCTATAAAACCGACAATAGGCAATGCCTTACAATTCTTAACAGATTTATTTGATGGTGGTCTCAGTTATAGTTCTGTTAATTCTGCCAGGTCGGCAATTTCGTCCATTATTTTGCCCATAGATGGCGTTACTTTTGGCAGTCATGCATTAACCACCAGATTTATGAAAGGGGTATTTAATTGTAGACCATCTTTCCCTCGTTACAAAACAATTTGGGACGTTGGTGTTTTGCTAAATTTTCTGAAGTCATTAGGTAGCACAAATGAGCTATCCTTGAAGTTGCTGAGTAAAAAAGTAGTTACGTTGCTGGCTCTAGTGACAGCTCAGCGAATCCAAACATTGCATCTAATATGCATTGATGATGTATTAATATCTGACAAAGAGTGTCACCTTAGAATAGGAAGTTTATTAAAACAAAGTAGACCAGGAGTACATCAAGCCGATTTGGTTTTACCGATCTTTTCAGAGAATCCCGATCTTTGTATTGTTACCAATTTGTCAGAATATATAAAACGAACAAGTATTGTTCGTGGTGAAGAAAAAGTTTTGTTTATCAGTTTTCAAAAACCGTTTAAAGCTTTGTCTAGAGACAGTATAAGCAGGTGGATTAAAGATATGCTCAAGTCTGCAGGAATTGACACGAGTGTTTTTACAGCTCACAGTGTACGGTCGGCCTCCACTTCAGCAGCTGCTACTGCAGGAGTTCCGATACAGCTCATCTTACAGACTGCAGGATGGTCCGGCGCACAGACTTTCGCCAAGTTTTATAATAAACCTATAATTGAAAAACCTGCATTTTCTACTTCAGTTTTAAATAAAAACCGATAAACTGTCACGATACTTATGATCAATCCACCATAAACAGAGATATGTTTCCAGTAACTTCTGATAGAATAGTTATTTATGTATAATTCAGAAAGAATGTGTATGATTAATTTACATAATAAGTTCACATTTAAAAACAAGGACTAGAAATTGGAAATGTTGAAGTTTTTTCACTGTTTTGTTTCCCTTTTTTCCAAGTCAAACTTTTTCGTGCTCTAAACATCTCACGTAATCTCTGGAGTGACGTCATAATGGTGAGGTAGAATCCTAAAATTAAACGAGTCTAATTTATTAGGCGAAGTTTGATTGGGATTCTACCGACCTATTATGACAAACGAAAGAGATTACGTGCCCTCCCGTTTTGCACTATTAATGGATCCCTCCCTTGTCGTTAATACGAAAATTTTGACTTGTGCTTTTAAGAACGAAGGCTGGCTGGTGAGCGCTATCTCACGTAATCTCTTTCGTTTGTCATAATAGGTCGGTAGAATCCCAATCAAACTTCGCCTAATAAATTAGACTCGTTTAATTTTAGGAATAATAATGAGGTACATGTAGTCAGGCCTCCTGCCTGGAGGTAATTACTTTTCCAGAAACTTGGAATGTGTGGCTGACCCACCCAGGGCTAAAGGACAGATTTTCTCACTCATGCTCACAGTGGTGAACAAAAATATAACATGCACATAAAACAATGAAGATAATAATAATTTCAATACTTTGAAAACATGAAAACAATCCAAAACTTGTGAAAAAGCAATCCCGCGTACCGATTATTGGGATATAAAATATTAAGAAACTTTCAGTAGAAATAGGAAAAACCCAAAGGTGCTAAAAAAGATAACATTGAAATATGTTTCAAATATTTCACCGGTTACACAAGTATTGACGAATGGGATTTACTTTCCTGTGGACCATCCACTGGGGCAGCAGGGAGAGGCAACTCCTCCCCCAGACATTTTGCTGCTATAATGAGCGCCAGTACTGGTTTGTTTTAAATGTTGAATGTGTGATGAAACGTGAATACAGAAAATACAGGCAAACTCTTGAAACACTGAAAACACAGACTATCAAAAACAGAATGTGACATTGGTGGCATTTCTACAGCTCTTTATCAAGGGTAGCATCTCTGGGTATGGACTCCTTGCACAAGTACCCCCTCAACCGTTACAAAGGGAGAGTTGTGGGACCACATGAATGCATTGCCAACAGCGCCTGGCACTCATTTGAAGATGTTAGGGGCCATTGAGAATTTTCAATGTTTTACAATTTCGACTTTTTTTCCAAATAATTTTGACCCACCCACCCACCCCAATTTCAATTAATAAAAAACTGAACTTGTACATTTACATGCACTTGCATGTACATATACTTGAACATGAACATGTATACCCCTGTGTGTCTAGTTCAGTGACGGCGTGAAGTTGTCGGTCTTCCTCTTTTGCACTGGTGACTTTCAGTTTTCTTGTGTTTTGCCAGCTGATATGCTGTTGGGAATGACAGGTTGTAGTTTTGGGAGCCACAAAGATGACCGTGGTTTTGTCGTTTTCTGGATGAGGTGGATGACATGTGACATACGAGGTTGTGCCTGTCAAGTGAGGTAGCTGAGAAAACATTCACTCGTACCCCCCCCCCCCCCCCCCCCCCCGCCCTGTTTGTAGGGCGGGGGGTACGAGCGAAAGAAAAACCATCAGGTTTGGGCAGACATCACATCACAGGCTGCGGTCCTTGTAGTCTTTGAGTCCAGTGTTTGAATTGACCAATTTTTATAGCGATTGGTAATCGACGACCACGGCGTGTTATAGAGCCGATCTAGTACACCTGGTACCCTGCTGCCTCTGCACGGCCTAACCGCTACAAACGCCCGGCGTCCAAGTCTACTGAAAAACCACCTCCCTCTCATGCCACGGTGGGTTTATATACACGTACATGACGTACATGTACAGTACATACAGGGGACGAAGTTGGAAAAGAAACACATCGCGATATCGGAACGCTTGCGCGTAGTTCAGGCAAGTCAAAAGATCTATCTTTCTTTTTTTTTCTTTTTCCATGGAAAGTGAATTTCGATTTTCAATTATTTAGCTTGACCCACCCACCCACAATTTGGAAAAAAGTTCGAAATTTTAAAACATTGAAAATTCTGAATGGTCCCCATTCAGAATGGAGATTTTTTCACCAAATATGAAAAGACTAATTAACGTATCAGGTCCAAGAAACAAACTCAAATGTAGAGTAAACATGTCAGCAAACAAACAAGTTAATGAACTGTACATGTCTGTTGCATCCAGCACTTGTCCCCCAAACTCCCCAAGCTCTCTATATAAACCATGTCATGTTACTTGATGATGATTCTGTGTTTGCCAGTGCCATCTCTCTGGGATTCGCCCCCTTAAAAGCTTACCACTGTTCACACTCTTTGCATTTTCCAAATGAAAGACTTCCAAAACCATTTCTTTATTGTTATCAATAGTTTGTTAAGTCAGAACTTAATGACAACAAGAATTCAAAGTTATTTCAATGCCAATTTCTTACTCAACATTAAATGCAAGGTTTTATTAACAAGATTATAAATGGATTGACTGACCTGGGTGTCATCTTCATTGTTTATTGTGTACATGTACCATCACCTGAAAGAGAAAATTATCGAAAACAAAAACTAAGAGTCATTTCATGTAAGTAATTTATATAAGTGTCCACGGGGAAAAAAATTAACTCTTAATGAAAGAGCAAAGGAAATCTGAATTTGGTGGCACTCGTCTGAAAGTAATTGACAAATTTGATACTCAATTTGAATTAGAAAGAAAGGAAAAATCTCAACATAGGTTTTTGTAAAATCATTTCTGGATTGATGCTGCAGAAAGAGTATGCAGTTGCCAAAGATTTTCTCACCAAATATGAAAATATAAATATACAAAGATCTGATCACAGCCAACAGCAAAGTATTCTGAGAGCCTAGCTGGCAACTTGCATTTTTTTTTGGGGGGGGGGTTTAAAATGGAGTTCAAAATGCAACTTTTCTAGTTGTGAAAACGTGTGCTATATTAAGGCTTAAAAGATGATGAATTTTAAGAAGTACAATGCACATACATGTAAGGGTGAGGCTGTGTAGTGATATAGTTAATTTTGTGACATTGGTTTGCATTCAGGCTGGGCGGCCTTTCAAAAGAAAGCAACTAAATGTATTATTAGCAAGTCTGTAAATTGGCCCAAAATGAAGTTGCAGTGAGCCCGTTAATTGGCCCAAAATTGCAAAACACATGCCCTGTTACTATGGCAATGGTCCTGGTACGGATTTTAAAAGACTTTGGTTATTTACTCCCAATTCCAATCAAGTTGAAACAATCAAGTTTTGATCGTGGACACTCATATGAAAGATTGACATGAAACAACTCTTCAGACAGGTTGGCAATTTGACAACTGAAAATTCTGACTGAAGCTGGTTTGTGAGCTAGGTCCAAGGAATTCACACCTTCTATAGAAATCCAAACTTGTTCATTGGGAGTTTCTTACAAACAGAACACAAAATGAGAGATTAAATGAGTCCATTATGTCACAGAATGGAAAGAAAAAGTATGCACAGGTACATGTATTAACACCTCATTTGATGAAACAAGTTTGGAATGACATGTACAATGCACGTATCTATGGACACTGATAGTTGCAGGCCAGGCAATAAGCCTAAAATTGCATACGCCGGCCATATCACGATTTGTACGCACCCATTTTTTTGCTTTCATCATTTTGTGGGCCATGAAATTGAAGGTTTGTAAAAAGAAAAAGAAGAAAGGTGGAAGCCGTGAACAGGACTGCCAGCTCGTATTGCTGTGTAATTTGGATGAATTAAGCCCTAATTGCTCTACTTTGCAATGCAGCATAGGCATCAGTTTTCAAAATGGCGATGGGCTTCCGGAATACACTTTTAGGGGTGATCACCTCTGGATGGAATTTTTCTCACAAAAGTCATCGGATTACCAATTTAACAAAATTGAGCACAAAATGAAAGATGATGAAATCAGTTTTAATTTGATGTGTCTTAACACCTTGAAGGCTTGGGATAACTGAGGTCACACCTGGAAAATAAAATGGAATCGAGCCAGAGGCAAATAGATAAGAAAACAAGCAGTAGGATCTGAACCAAAGACTCTTCAATTCCTTCAAGGATAACTGAGGTCACACCTGGGAATAAGCAGGAATCAAACCAAAACAAGCAACAGCCCCCCCCCATGAAACCTTCAAGGATAACTGAGGTCACACCTGGAAAATAAAATGGAATTGAGCCAGAGGCAAATAGAAAAGAAAACAAGCAGTAGGATCTGAACCAAAGACCTCTCAATTCCTTCAAGGATAACTGAGGTCACACCTGGAAAATAAAATGGAATCGAACCAGAGGCCAATAGAAAAGAAAACAAGCAGTAGGATCTGAACCAAAGACTCCTCAATTCCTTCAAGGATAACTGAGGTCACACCTGGGAATAAACAGGAATCGAACCAGGGGTTGATAGATAAGAAAACAAGCAGTAGGATCTGAACCAAAGACTCCTCAATTCCTTCAAGGATAACTGAGGTCACACCTGGGAATAAACAGGAATCAAACCAAAACAAGCAGTAGGATCTGAAGCAAAGATTCACCAGATTCAAACCAGACATCCCTAACATGAAGCTCCCAAGACATTAAGTACATGTAGGATCACTAGTCATCAAATCTAGCTGATGCAGTGATTATTTTCAGACAACTTTCATTCTTACTTGACTTGAGACGTTTACCGGCCGTCATCTTCTTGACTCCTCATTGTCTCTCAGCCAACATTCTCTCAAGATCAATTTTAACTCAACGTTGATTTTTTTTGGTTGGTAAAAATGATAACTTCAAATAGACTGAAAATTCTTTATAAGGATTTATAGCAAGATAAAAGAAATTTTAGTGTGTGGAATATGAAAGATTTGAGGAAAAATTATTTTTATTTACTTTTTTATTTGATGGTAAAAAAAAAAAACTGGTGGGATCACATGTAAATGTATGGTGAGGTGCATGCGATTGTAATTCAACAAAGTGCATCATGTACATGTACATGTAGATACTGGTATATAATGCATGGAGCTATCTAAGGTCCGAAACTCAAGTGTCAAGTAAATATGTACACAGATAAACAGATATACAGATTGTACAAGTGTGTGATATACATATGTAT